GCGGCTGGGCCCGTGAGCCATGGCCGCTGAGCCTGCGCGTCCGGAGCCTGGGCTCCGTCCGCAACGGAAGAGGCCACAGCAGTGAGAGGCCCGCGTACCGAAAAAAAAAAAAAAAAAGCTTAGAGAAAGGCAGAAAAGTAATAAGCTAACCATCCATCTCAAAAAAGTTATTAACAGCAAAATAAACCCAAAGAAAATAGAAAAATAAAGACAAGAGCAGAAATTAAGGAAATATAAAACAAAGTACAACAGAGAAGTTCAAAAAGCTTAAAGTTGGTTCCCTGAAAAGACTAATAAAATGATAAACCAAAGGTAATACTGATCACGAAAAAATAAGACACAAATAAGAATGAAAATGGGAGATTACTATAGCTTCTGTAGCATTACAAAATAATAAAGGATACTGAATATTTCAGCTAACATTTTTTGACCATTTACATAAAATGGAAAAATTCCTAGACAATACAAATTACCAAAACTAGCACAGAATAAACTCTTAGCTATACAGATCTGTAACTACTAAAGAAATTAAAACCACAATTAAAAACTTTTCCACAAAGAAAACTTCTGAGAGCTTCTCCGGCAAGTTCCACTCAACATTTAAGGAAGAATAATGCTAATCTTACAAAAATTCATCCAAGAATAAAAAAAGAGGAATCAGTCCCCAATTATTCAGTGAGGCATCACTTTGGTTCCAAAATCCAACAAGTATAAGAAAAAAATTTTACAGACCAGTTTCACTCACGAACATAAATGCTAGTTTAAACCATATAATAGTACATTGAACAAAGGAATATTAAAAAGAAGAAAAATTGTGACTACGTTAGGTTTATTCCAAAAATGCAAGATAAGTCTAACATTCGAAACTCAAACAAAATCAATGGAATCTGCTATATTAATCAGTTGAGGAGACAAATCATATGATCACCCTAATAAATGAAGCAAAAGCATTTGCTAAAACTCAACATTCATTCATGATAAAAACTCTTAGCAACTAGGGAAGGAAGAGAACTCAAACCTCAGCAAACATTATACTTAATGTTGAAGTTCTGAAATTAGAAACAAGACAAAAATGCCCTCCAGTTTTACTAGTATTTAACATTTTACTGAAAACCCTGGACATAGCTAGCAATAAGGCAAGCGAAATAAAAGGTTTAAGAATTAGAAGTGTAAGAACAAACTGTCATTACTTGCAGAAATAATATTTACAGAGGAAATCCAAGAAAATGTATGGGTAAATTGTAAGAATTTATGAAAGTACAAGTTCTTGTATAAAAGACAGTATACAAAAGCCAACTGCCCTTGTACATTCCATCAACAATTAAGTAGACAATGGAAAATATTAAAAGATACAATTTATATTAAACAAAAATCTAATACCTATGATGTTTAAAATCTTTACACATAAAACAATACACATTATTGAGAAATATTAAGATAAACCTAAAAGAGGTATGCCATTCTCATGCATTGAAGACTCAATATTATAATAATATCAATTTTTTCAAATTGACCTATAAATTCAATAAATTCCCATCAAAATTCCACACATATTTTTACAATATTTGACGAGCTGATTCCAAAATTTACATGGAAATGCAAGGTGCAAAGAACAGCCAAGATCCTTTTGAGGAAGAACAAGGTGGGGGCATTATTCTTCGGGGTGTCTAGACTTATTATAAAATTAACATCAGGGAGAAGAGAGATAAACTTGACTGCCTTAAAATGAATGACTTCTATTCCTCAAAAAGTATCATTAAAAAAGGAAAAGAGTCAAGTCACAGCACAAGAGAAGATATTTGAAATGCCATATAACCGCAAAAGGCTCACATTTCCAGAATATATAATAGATTCCTATAAATCAATTTTTTAAAAAAGAAAACAGCCGAAAAGTGAGCAAGAAAGCTGAACAGGCAATCTAGATCTGAAATTTTGAATTGTTTTATCAAATGTCACTGCAATTTGTTTAAAAAAAATTAGAAAACTTCAATAGCTTCATGTCACTTTAATAAAATTTCACAATGACACTATACTGGGTACTAGCAATGAATGGCTACGTGATACAACTAAAACTAGTTTTCAGATGCAATGTATGATAATTCTACACATATTTTTCTTTTTTGGTTTTTGTGTGTAATCATAACATTTGTTATTTCACTTGTGTCAGAACATATAGATTTCCATCTGGTATCCACACATGTGTACTGTTTGCCATTTATTCTTACACCATTATTGAGATTTTTATTTGTATTACTATTTCCATCACTACTTTTAAGCTTCAGTGAACCAGCTCCTTTTAAGGAATTAGGGATATGCAACACAGTGCTTAAAAACAACTTAACAATTATAAATAATGTCCAAATTATATGACAAAGAACTGCACTCTCTAAACAGAATATAACTCAAGATGAACTAAATGACATACTTCTTGCAGTATATGAGACACCGAAAATGTACTCATTATAGAACCTCTGTAACAACTATCACAAATCTTATAGTTCAGATCTGTGCAATGTTTTTGAAACATTTCATTGCTTCTTCTCCTGAAACCAGAAACCACCACATTATGACAAATCAGCAAGTAGCCTATGGACCCCACTCAGAAGCACTGATCTAGTGCTGTTCACGGCATATCCTTGGAGCTGGGTGAACACACACGCCTCCCACATCTGTTGGCCTGCACCTGACCAGATGTATCAAGGCCCTGTGTGTCCCTGAGTCCCTGGCTAGAGCCAGCCTCTGCTACCTGTTGCTTTTTCCAGTGCTTGGTTTGTCCCCCAGCTTCACCAGACCCTGTGTTGCTGCTGGAATGCACGCTATAGCTAAAAGACTAGGCCAGCTACGTCAGAAGCTTCCTCTACTGCTCTGAGGGTCACAAGACTTGGCAAAGTAAATGGCAGCAGAAGATAACTGAGCAGCGAAAGATGTTTCATCTGTTTTCACAAGCTATATACGTCTTGTCATTCTCATTCAAATCTGCTGCTGCTTCATCCCTAAATCTCATTTACCTGCCCAGGCCTGAGGCCCTCTGGCTCCAGCTTCCTGCTCTTGGGCCATGGGGTTCCCATCACAGCATTCACCTTAAATCTATGTCTGCTGGCCTTCCGTCTGACCTACTCTGACACCTCAAGACTTATTTCCAGAACAGGTGCTTCCAGATTCATTCTTCCCATTCACCCACCCCTTGTCTGACACAGTTTTTACAGTTGCATGGTTCAACAGCTTGTGAGTAGTTGGTTACCCCAGAGTTATTTGTTACTATTGAAAAAGACCACTGTGCTAAAGGACTTTGATTCCCTGCCAGCACTCACAGTGGTCACTCAAGAAAAAGAAATCACTGCATTATAAAAGTCAAGTAAGTATGTAAGTAAACTTCCAAAAGTCATCTTCCTACAAAGCTCACAAATTTTATAACTATTGTAAGACTTTTACATTAAAATGTTAATTTTTCTGCAAAGAAGCTCAATTATTTTGCTATGCAATAAATTTAAGACAGACAGATTTTTTTGTCTTTAAACAAATCATTTAAATTAATCAAGTCATCTGGACTTCCTGGCAGTCCAGTGGTTAAGACTCCACGCTTCCATTGCAGGGGTCACGGGTTTGATCCCTGGTCAGGGAACTAAGATCCCACATGCCACACAGCACAAAAACAAACAAACAAACAAAAAACAAACAAACAAAAAAACCCAAGATACTATTTAAAAAAAATTTTTTTAATTACTCAAGTCCTCAAACAACCAACAAAAAAATTCTAGAATAGCATTTACCAAAAACTTAATTATCTTTCACTGAGTCACAAATGAAATTTCCTTTACATATATTTTTAAAAATCTGGAGATCTTAATTACAGGTAGAAAAATTAACATCATACGACACATAATAACAGAACGTGCTGATATACAATTTAGTTATCGTTATTTTCTCTTGAAAAATTAAAATATGCCTCTCCAAAAAAAAAAAAAACTTTAAGAAATTTTCTCTGGACCTAAATTCCAAATAATGTCACCAGAGATCCTCCTTTACCTAGTAATCAATAAAAGTAACTACATCCATTTCATAACACGCATTTGTTTGTGGGGATTTTCTGGTGATAGATAAATATGAGCACATTATCTTTAGATAGTTTACTTCCACATTCAATTATAACGATTCAATTATAATGAATGATAACATTGTTTAAGTAGTTTATACAAAAGCCTTTACTTTGATGAAGTTGCTGCAATACTGTAATGAATCCACTGGGGCTTTCAGAAGAAGGAAAAAACAATATGAATTCAGTGTGAAAACATTTAAAAGTACAGCCAAATGTTCCTGTTTGACTAGAATGTTTATGAATACCCATACAATGGAAGCTCGCCTAAGATATTCTAAATTCCTCTTTCAAAAGGGGTACTCAATATACTCTAATTGTTTAATAAAGTCAAAGCCAGCTTTTATTCCTGACACAGGTCTAAAATGTAGGGGATTTTTTCTTCCCCCTCAAGTTTTGGAGTTCAAAGAATATTTTCTATAATTCTTTAAAGTCAAGAATGTAAAAAGAAAAACGGCGCACATGTTTAACAAAGTGAAAATACTGGAACCACACTGTTGCGGGTCCCAGTGACATCCAGACAATAATGTGTTCACAAACCACAGAAGAATTCCCCCTCTCTGGATATCTAAGTTCCCAACCGTGGTTTACCTGTAACTACATCATAAGTTTATATCGCCAACAAAAGCCTAACATACTAGCTCTCAGTCAGGCAGGCAACAAATATACCTCACAGGTTTACGAAGGTCCTACTACATACATACTGCCATATTGGGTACTGTGAGATAAAGAAACGTGGGGATTACAAATTAGGAAGGAAGGTAAAATTTAGACATGCATGAAAGTTAATCAACATGAGATACACTATTTGAGTCCAGAACGTTTGCCATGGGTCAGCACTTAATTAACATCTGTTGATTGTAACTGGGTTTTATTAAAAATGAGAGCCACAGGTTTGACTGGAAAAAGGTTCTCTGACAAGCCTATTTTAACAGAAACAGTTGGGACAATGACAATTTCAACACAGACTGGGCGTGAGATGATTCTAATGAACCATGCCTAATGTAAGAAAATGTAAGAAAAACTTCCATATGTTTTAGAGATACACACTAAGTATGCAGGCTAAAATGACATGTGGTTAGAAAGTAGCTTTAAAATACTTCAGGAAAAGAAGGAAAGGAGGGTGGGAGGAAGGGAGGAAAGAAAAACTGATAGCCAAAGCCAAGTACAGCAGAAATCTTAATTGTTGGCTTTGGATGATGGGCATATTCCCCAAGATGCCATTATACTCTTCCATTATACTATTTTTTAAAGCATACTATTAAATACATCCACCTTTGGATATGTTTGAAATTTTCATAATAAAAATGAAGTTTCTGTGATACCGGAGCTTGACTTGGCAAGTGAAGGTGGACAGGTATAGGATTTAAAACGAAGGAGGGCATTTTAGGCCTTCCGCCTCATTCTCAGTCCCCACCCATCGACCAATACACCAGCAACCATTCTTCAATTTTCTTGGCTTCACAACGCAGCAGTTAAGTCTCTCAGCAATTTGGGGTCCCTCAGTCCTCACCACAGTAAGGTAGCCGGCTAGCTCCCTTTTCCTAATTTATCTAATAACCCAAAAGCCCATGCTCTTGGCCCTGTTCCACATACTACGTCCACCCTTCTAAATTTTGTTTCTAATTCCATCTGTCTTTTATTCCCAGTAGTTAATAGACTCCAGCTGCAAATTGCAACACATTAAGTTACAGATAGGCATTCTCAGTGATGAACTCTGTGTGAGCTCACAGCCCCTTAGAAACTCCTACTATCTATTCTAACACGTCCTTGACACCTGAATGTTTCAACCAAGTTGGTAGATGGGCCTGGAGGGAATGAACACTTTAAGTGTAAACAGTTTTACCTTCTACTATTAATTCCTAGTTTTCTTTTCCACCGTATCTCTATTCCAGCTTCAGGAGTTCTACATTTTTTCAATAGTTAAGAAACTCTTTTAATATAAGAGTTGGACATACCTGCATCACAAATTCCCGGCGCCGAGGCACCCCTCTTTCCGAAAGCAAAACGTAATCTGGCTCCTTCTCCTTTTTGGCCTGTTGAATTTGAGCCAGGCGGCTAATGGGGTTCATTCCTTGACCATATTCTGGTCCAGCCTAAAAAAATTTAAGAAAAATGTTCAAAACATAAGACCTGCTTTTAAAACTTGTTATTAGGTCCTTAAAGAAACCATGGCTCTCACCTCCTCCCCTGCACCCCAAAACTCTGTCTGAAATAAATGAAAACTTATAAAGGAAAATTAGAAAATGGACCTGAAACTAGGCTTCTATAGGATTTAGGGCTCAGAAGGATTACTGATAAGTTGGTCAACTATCCTTTTAAACTCTTTAATACAGCAGGAGTTGCTTCACGACTTCTATTCATCAAAAAAACACCAAAAAGTATGTAAGAAGACAAGCCATGAACTGGGAAGAGATATCTGAAATACAGATAAGTTAAAAAAAGATATATCCAGTATCCAAAATATATTTTTTAAAACTCCTAAAAAGTATTAAGAAAAAGACAATCTAAAATAAAAATGGGGAACTCCCTGGTGGTCCAGTGGTTAGGACTCTGCTTTCACTGCCAAGGGCCTGGGTTCTATCCCTGGTGGGGGAACTAAGATCCCCCAAGCCATGAGGTGTGGCCAAAAAAAAAAAAAGTGTTAAAATAAAAATGGGCAGGACTTCCCTGGTGGTCCAGTGGTAAAGGATCCACCTGCCAAATGCAGGGGACGTGCACTCGATCCCTGGCCGGAGAACTAAGATCCCACATGCCATGGGTCAACTAAGCCCACACGCCACAACTACTGAGCTTGCATGCCTCAACTAGAGAGCTCGTGTGCGGCAAACTATAGAGCCCACTTGCTCTGGAGCCCACACACCACAACTAGAGAAGCCCACGCCCACAACTAGAGAGAAGCCCACGTGCCACAACAAAGAGCCCACGCACCGCAATGAAAGATCCTGCATGCCTCAGTGAAGATCCCACCTGCCGCGACTAAGAGCCAATGCAGCCAAAAATAAATAAAATTTTTTAAAAAGAAAAAAAAGAAAAGAAAAATGGGCAAATGAGATGAACAGATATTTAACAGAAGAAAAAAAACATATAAAAAGATAATCCATCTCATTAAGACTCAGAAAATGCATATTAAAACCACAGTGAGATACTATTTCATACCTATCAATTTAGCAAAAGAAGTCCAGCAGCCTCAACTGGTGAAGATGGGGAGTAACGAAAACTTACACAGTGCTGATCATAATATAAACTGGAAAACAATTTGGCAATGTCTAGTAAAGCCAATAAATAACCCACTCCTCAGTAGCCTGTTCAACTAGAAAACTGTTACCCAAATGTGCTAGCTCATTTATTTGTATGGGAATATCCACAGCTGCATCACTTGAAATAGCAAAAAAAGAAAAACTGGAAATAACCTGAACATTCATCGATAAAAGAAAAAATAAATTATGGCATGTTCATACAATGGAACGGCATATAACAGTGAAAATGAATTAAGTATTGCTACATACATCAAGATGAATGAATTTAAGAAAAACATGTTAAGTGAGAAAAGCAAGCATAGAAGAATATATAAAGTATGATATAATTTATATAAAGCCCATTAAAACTACAAAACGCTGGTGAAATTAAATAAGATCTCAGTAAGTGGACAGACACACATGTTAATGGATCAGCAGACTCAATATTCTTAAGATGTTGATTCTCTTCAAACTGATCTATCAATCAAATCAATCAAAATCAATCTATCAACCCCAATCAAAACCTCAGCATGCTCTTTTTGGGTAATAATTAATAAGCCAATACTCAAAATTCATATGGAAATGCAAAGGACAAATAACCAAACCAACCTTGAAAAAAGAACAAAGTTGGAGGAATCAGACTACCTGATTTCAAGATTTATTATAATGCTATAGTAATCAAGACAGTATGTGTGGTACTGGCAGAAAGACAGACAAAGAGATCAATGAAACAGAACAGCATCCAGAAGTACCTCCACACATATATGGTCAACAAAGGCGCAAAAGCCATTCAGTGGAGAAAGGGTAGTCTTTTCAACCAATGGTACTGGAACAATTGGATATTCACATGTAGAATAAAAACAAAACTTCAATCCATACCTCACACAAAAGTTAACTCAAAATGGTTCATAGGCTTAAGTGTAATATCTAAAACTAAAACTTCCAGAAGAAAATATAGGGGAAATTTTTCTGGTTTGGTTAGGTAACAATTTCTTAGATACAACAGCAAAATCACATTCAATAATAATAACGATAATAAATTGAACTTCGTCAAAATTAGTAACTTCTGTTCTTTAAAAAGGACAAGCCACAGGCTTGGAGAAATATTTGCAAACCACATATCTGATTAAAAAAAACTTGTACCCAGAATGCATAAAGACCTCTCAAAATTCCGTAATAAATTTATATTTTAAATGTATTATTTGTTATTATTTAAATTATTACTTAAAAATTTTTAAGCAAGCAAAAGATCTGAACAACACTTCATCAAGCTTCATGTGCTACTGTATATACAAAAAAATGCTCTATCATTAGTCACTAGAGGAATCTGAACCAAAACGAGATATCAATATGCATGTATTTGAACAACTGGAATTTAACTATACTGTGTGTTAGAAAGGATGTGCAGATACTAGAATTCTCACACATGGCTGCTGAGAATACAAAATGGTTCAATCACTTTGAAAAACTATTGGCAGTTTCTTAAAATGTCGTATACCTACTAAATGACCACACCACTCCACTCCTAAGTATTTACCCAAGAGAAAAAAAAGCATATGCCCAGAAGACTTAGACACAAATGTTCACAGCAGCTTTATTTTTAATAGCCCCAAATTAGAAGCATCCCAAATATCCAACAAAGAGTGAATGGATAAACAAATTATGGTATATCCATTCAATATAATACTACTTAGCAATAAAACAGAACCAACAATTAACAGCTGTAACAACATGGATGAAGTTCTAAACTATTATACCGAGTGAATGAAGCCAGTCAAAAAAAGAGTGGTTGCTTGGTAATTGAAGGTGGGGGGATTCCAAAGGGGAATGAGGAAACTTTGGGGAGCAATGGATAGGTTCATTGTCTTGATTGTGGTCATGATTTCACAAGTGTATACATATATCAAATCATATCAAATAGTATGCTTTATATAAGGAAATGTTTATGAATAAAACTTGATAAAAGCTTTTTTTTAAGTTTATGTATAGCCTTTTTAGTGGCTTCTAAAAGGTTTTAAAAAAAAAGAAAAAAACCTTTGCAAATCAAATATTTTTTTCTGCATGCAAACTAACTTTCTTCATATATTATTCCTAGAAATGAAGGTTTGCATGTCATACGGTCAGCACTTTATATCCACCTGTGAAAATTTACTCTAAAACAGGTATTAGAGACAAGGGTAATCACTAAGTTACAGTTTATATATGTTACACTAAACCTACAGAAGAGCCACTATATAGTCTTAGCTTTTCCTGTAGTTGTTGAGTCTCGACCACATCTAGCTTGGTGCTGCAGGTACAGCCTCTAAGTCCGATCCTGCAAGCTCTTTTAAATTATGTTTTGGGGATTTGGGGTTTTACCCAAAGAACAATGAGAAATTACTAAAAGATTTTAAGTAGAGGCATGACATGATCTGATCAGTATTTCTAAAAGACAACACTTTTAGAAAGATCTTTTGATGTCAAAAGTACTTGCAGGAAGAAGGTCAATTAAAAACCTCCTGTAGTAGTTCAGGCAAGACATGAATGTGAGCTGGAACAAAAGGGTGGCAGGGAATGGAAAGAAATGGACCAACTTAGGAAATATTTAAGTGATGCAATCAATAGGGCTTGATGATTGACTCTATACAAGGAGGTGGAGAGATGTTAAAAATGACTTCCAGGATTCTGTTTCAGCAGCTGGATGGGGATGCCAGTCACTAACGATAAAGAATACGCAGGAGGAGGAAGAGGTTCAGAAGGGAACGCGATGAGTGTTGGACAGAGTTTCAGGGGCCTGTGAACTATTAAGTGAGAGGCCCAAAAGGCAGTGTCGAGCACAGAAGAATATTTGGGAATCATCTAATGTAAGGACTGAATTGAAGCCCTAGAAGTATGAAGAGCAGCCTAGGAGACAGTAAGAGAGGGAAAAGACTGAGAACTTGAATACTACAATAGTTGGGTAGAGGGGGAGAAGAAAGAAAAGGAAAATTTTAGCTTTTGATAAAATATTGGTTTCTACTTCTACTTATATACCAAGAAAATGAAAAAAATATATATTGTAATGGAAGTAAAGACGGACTGATGAGAAAAGACAAATACAGATAATAACCCGTAAGTCTAAGATTGAAATGCCAATGAAAAGGTAAAGGGAAGTTCTTGGGTCTCGCACTGGAAGATGTCCATGAAGATGGTCACATAAACATGTACTTCCAACGGTATGCTGTCTTTATTCCTGTTTAATTTGCCTATTTTATAAGAATGTCTGTAGGTTCCGAAGATGTTGTTGATACAGATTCCAATGACAAAGAACCAGATGCAAAAATCCAATCAGAGAATAACGGAGTTCTGAGAACATTAAGAATGGCTGGTTTCTTCCCTTGACTGAAATTAACTACTAGCACCCTTGAAAATTAAGTTATTCCTTGGATAGCAAGTCTTAGATTATCATTCTACAAACCAGTCTAGATTATCATTCTACAAACCAGTAAGGACAGTCTTATTCAGAAAACTTTATCTCCAACATCAGAAAACCTTCTTTGAGGCCTCATCTTATAGAAGAGAAGCTACATTAAAGAACAGAATCTAAACCCAAAGACACCATCAGGGCAGTATTACATTTTAACAAGGTGACTCTGTAGAGTAAATTAAAATCCAAAAGGAGTTCACAACCAACCAGTTTCAAATGGGCACTGGCATCAGATGTGACTGGACCTGAAACCAGACTCTGCTCTGTGATCTTAGGGAAGTTTCTTAAACACCAAGAACCTCATCTGTAAAATGGGGATAATATCTACGTCACAGAGTGATTAAGAGGATCAAATGAGACAATGTGATAATTTCATTATTCTAAATAAAATCAAGGTAAATCATCAACAGCTATTTTCTCTACTTCTATTGCATAATAAGGAATGGTAGACCCTAGATGTAGAAGACATTTAAGGAAGTGACTAAAATGCTGAAAACCAAGACGCTATCCAAGCTGATCCACTTACTGGCCCAGTAAGTGGAAGGTCTTGATCACACTCAAAATTCTCTAGATTCCAACTCACTGTATGCATGCTGCTTTCTCAAAATAACCTTACATTTCAGAGAATATCTACAGACTTTAACATAAGACAGATATGGTACAAGAAACTCCAAGTGTGATGTATGTGAGGAAAATTGCAGGGGGCGAACCAAATCTGGGACTGGGGGAGGATCAGAGAAGGCATCCCTGAAGAAGTCAAGTTTAAGCTGAGATCTAAATGGTGGATAGGAAGAAAGTTCTAGAATAACATGCTTATATACTGGAGGTAGTAGCAGCAAATTATTTTTAAAATTCAAAACGTTTCTCCCCCCTTTGTGGAATAACATTTAAACAGTACTCTTGCTTTTAATGGCTATGGTTAAAAGTAACAAGAGTTATATTTATATTCTACTATAAAAAGTGATAGATCTTTTCTAGACTAAAGGCTTATTATTCTTAATTTATTAAGATTAGATTTAGTTTAACAGATTAGGTGGAGGTTAATGTGACCAGTTTTGCATTGCCATTCTGATGCAGAGCACTGTTCTTCCATCATGGAGAAGCTATAGATTTTATATGTATAAAGATTTAGGAGAACAGACCATGGATACATTCATGCACATATAAAACGTGAATAGAATTAGATACAAAATAACAATAGCTAATATTTATTGAGTACTTATTATTTGCATTGTTAATAAATATTTAATAATAATGACTAACGCATTCTATGTATTATTTCAAGTAACACATAACAATCCTGTGAAGCAAGTTCTATGATTATTCCTACTTTATAAATAGAGAAGTGAAAGGTTAGAAAAGTTAGGTAACTTGCTCAGGTCACAAGGATTCACACTCCAAGGTCATTTTCTGACTGTGATGGCCATTTTCTTAACAACCATATCCTACTCCCTGACCATGTGGTTAGAGCATATAAATGAAAGCCAGTCCTCAAAAGCACTATGACTCATGATGAGTGGATCTATTTGGCATTTATTTTTAGTCTACCTTGCAGCACAACGGTAGAATGCTATTTCAGGAAATGCATAATCTACAGCCTCTCAGTGAAATAATGACAGTATTCATTAAAAAGAACAAGTATTTATGTAGTTGTTTATACAGGTATTTATGTAAATATGTATGCATGTATTTTTAAATAAAGCAAAGGTACAAAAATATAAAACCTACAGAAATATTTCAATTGTACCATTGCAGGATCTAAACAAAAGAAATCCATCAAAGATAAAATGTACCTCACTTCTGTCATCCTTGATACTCTGGAGAAGTCTGCTAAATAAGCGAGGCTGAGCTAGCCGCTGATGCGCTGGCAGTTTAAGGCTTTCTCTGGGAGCAGAACTCTCGCTCCATTCACGTCACACACACTGAGTGTCTGCAGGCACCGTTCTGTGCTGAGTGCTAATTCATCTCATTCCTCTGACCTCTGCCTTTTTTTTTTTTTTTTTGGTTAACGTAAATAAAATCTGATTCAGTAAAAGAAAGAGTTACAACACCTTGAAAAGCTGTGTGCTCTCTTTGACACGGTATTCATGTCTGAAAGAATAGAAACCAAATAGCCCCGCTGACCTCCTAGGGCTGCTATGGGGATTAAATGAGATAAAGCATGTGAAGTGCTGGGACCATGTCTGGCACACTGAGTGCTTTATATTTACTGGCTGTTTCTGCTGTCATCAGTGTGAGGATTACTCATATGATTATTACTCTGCATCCAACCACCATGTCCTGAAATCCTAAGCAGTCACCATACAGCAGTGTGGTCTGCAGAAAGAACATTGGATTACAGATCAGTAGTTCAGGCTGCTGCACACAATAGGTGAATACAAGTGAGCAAATTTCTTTGAATATGTCTCATAATACCTTATTTGTAAAATGAGGGGTAACACCTGCCTTACAGAATCATGATGAGAATTTTACCAAAGGTGATCATGAATGGGAAAGTATTTTTTAAACCATAAAAAACTATAACTATTTAAGGTATTATTATTTCATGAACAAACACAGGTATACAAGTGTCTAAAAGCAAAACAGAATCGTTATTCATTTATAGACACATGTCCAACCCTGATTTTGGGACTGTCTATAACCCACAGGTTTAAGTGCCTGGCCTATGAAAAAACTTTCAGCTACAAATACTATAATGTTTACCTAGTAAAACTAACGTTCACAAGCACACACTTACCTTTACTATAGTTTTAGGGCGTTTTTTAAAAAACAGTTTTGGCTTTTCAACCACAGGAAGAGGTGGAAGTTTCTTAAGCTCCTGCAGGACAGTGGTTGCAGCACGTTTCTTGGATAGTTTTTTGCTATTTCCCTCTCCTTCTGCAGAGAACTCTCCCACTGACACCCGAGTAACAAAGCTTTTCATATGTGGTGGTCCACTTTCTTTAATAACCTATTGAATGTAAGTAAAATATTCAGTACAGGCACTTAAGATGTGTTCTTATGGCATGAATCTTTCTGAATATTCATATCATAATCAAGATTGAAATTATTAAGAATTATGCCAAAATCATAGATTCCTTCAATAAAGCTATTATGAAGTCATTATACAGGGGCTATTCATTTATGATACTTATGATGCCTAAGGAACTGAATTTGAAAAAACAGAAATCTAAATAAACACATTCAATTCATGGTCAAAATTGTGTTTTACTAGCTTAAAACAGGCAATTCTAATTATGGTTACCCTGTTTCTTATGGAACAGAAAATTAAGAACATAAAACATACCATATTACATTAGGTACACAGGCCATCCAGAATGATAATTTGCATATAACTGTGTACACATCCTTCTCTGTAAGAGTAAGTTACTGGAGTGCCAGGACTATGTCTTATTGGAGTTTTATAACCCATAAAGCATCCTGCATGTGGAAGCCTCTCAAAAACAGGTTATGTATGAAAAATAACCTAATTTTGATGGAGACCTCAAAGGCTGTTTTACGAAAAGGAATGTTTACGCTCTGTGACATGACCTTAAATAGGTAAGTAGATATGCCATAGAAATATCTAACTTTCTAGAGTAATGGATTATGAATCTGTCTGCTACAAATGTTCCTAAATCCTGAATTAATGTGCTCTTTTTAAACTATACCAGTTTTTGGAGGAAAAATGCCTTTCAAAACCTGAGTGCTTTATAGCCTCCTTCGAAAGTCTGACCTAAAAAAGCCAAAAATACCCTATTTAAATAGTTTACCATTGAACATTATATTAAAAATCTGTCTTCTAATATTGGATACCAATTAGGAAAACATACAATATCTCAATAATCCAATACTATTAGGGATAAGGAATTTATGATAAGCATACTTTCCAAGTAATTTAAGTTTACAAGTTGAAACACCAAAACTGTTTAACCACTCTGATGGACATCTTCCTCAATTAAAAAATATACATATATACTTTACTGACTAAATATTTAACCTTTTATTTTTCACATTAGATCATCATTATGAGCATCAGATATTCTACACTATACTATATTGATGCCTCTAAGGACATCTGAGACTTTTAAAACTGTTCCTCTTCACTGTAGCCTTTAAAAGGCCCCATCTTCCAATGACTTTTGAGTTGTATGCAATTACTTTTGATAGGTTTTCCATATTTTCCCTATCATTTCTTGCTGGACCAACAGGCCCTCAAGTACATCCTCTTCCTGCTTTCCTCATTTTGCTGCCTTTAATCTCTATGGACTGAGAAATCAGATAACCCAACTTGTTAGGACTGTGTCTAAGAAAGCAAACAGGTTCCCAGTCGAGGTAAGTAGATCCTGCCAGTGAGAGTAAAATGTGGGAGCTTTCCAGTTGGTGAACATCACATAATTTGAAGGAAGATAGATACTCATCAACTGTTTCAGCTTACTTCCTGGGTTTGGCCTATTTTCTAGATATTTGAGTTGCAAAATTAGTGACCTCTTAATAAAGGAGGTATTATAACAAGTTAACATTTTTTCTCTTTTAAATGTCACACAATTTTAAAAATATTTTGTGACATTTATCTAGCTGTAAACTAAAGAGCTGCTTAATGACTTCTTGGTGACTTATTAGTAAAGGTTAAATTTAAACATATTTTGGCCTCCATAAATTTAAAGGAAATTGGATATTAATATATACATGTCACTAAATATTAACTATACTGAATATTTTCAATGTGATCTTATCAAAAACACCAAGTCTTATAGGTTACTACAAATTATCTTAAACTCAGCAAATAAATTTTATGATGAAACGTGAAATATCATGTACACAAATGGCTTAATACAGAAAAGGCAAAGAGAATTGGCAGGAATCCGTAAGTTCTATTTCCTCAGGGCTTTTGTACCATTTCATGACAGAGAGTTCCAACGTCAGGAAGCACATTAATTCTTTCAGGATACTGAAATTTTATTTGTCAATCTTATTTGTTCGTTCATTTAAAATAATAAGGAGCAAGGAGGGAAAAATGGGAGATCTCTGCTGAACACATACCTCAAAACTGACGGGCATATTTCGCTTCAGAGCAATTTCAAACACTAAGCTGACCTCAGACTTATTTGCATCTCTGTCATCATCCGTTTCTTTTCCTGGTTCACCATTCTAAATCACAAAAAATAGGATGACATTGAAGCTTCACTTTGTAACAAACTTTACATGGATTTAACAATCAAGAGAACCTATCTACAATACAATAGGAAACAGGAAACCAGAAACTGGATCTTGTGCATTTCTATGTAACCACCGGAGTTGAGGGCTTTGCTGTGAGGCTTCTTGTGATTTGGTTTTAGTTTTCTTCCTCAAAGTAGAAGGATAAATGCTGAGTGTGGAAATCTCTTACTCAACCATTCACTAATTTGAGTTTATCCTATATCCTCAGACCCAGTTCTCTTTAGAGACCTCCATTACACACACACACACACACACACACACACACACACACACAAACACACACACTACCTCCACTGGTGTATGATATTTAATCTTCTATGAAGACTAAGTTGCAGCAAGAGTGCAGGATGCAAACCAGGATTTTGGAGCTCTGTGCCAATTTACTTATTCACCTATTTAACACTTACTTCTGGAGGGCCTCACATATACTGAACACAGTACTAGCATTAAAGAGATCAAGAGACAGTATTCCT